AAACAGCTGGGCTTCTATTCCAACAATGATGTTCCTACCATATTTACTTTTTATTGTCTAAAAAGTTTCTAAGAAAGTTTATAAAAGTTTATAAGTTTTTAAGAGTTGTGTCTTCTTAAATCCCAAGGGGCACTATAGACTCTGCAAATTGACTCCTTTCTCTACCAGATAAGTATCATTCAGACCATATGGCTTTCATTTCATTGTGACTTTTTAGTTTTGAATACGTTTCTGTATAATGTGAGAAAACTAATGTATTATGCTTTCCAGGCTTAATCTGGGTTCCTTTTCTTTCTCCCTTTCTTTCTGTTTCTATTTCCTTTCCCCTTTTCTTTTCTGCTAAGGATTGGCTCTCTCTTCTCCCAATAAGAATTTCTACTGATCCATTTACTGATGTGCGGGAAACTAAGAAACTCTAGAAGGAGATGCTATTTTACTATTTACTATTTTACTGCCATTGTGTTTGAGCATATGCCAAACTTTCGAAAACATGAGAGGGAACACCGCATACAGATATATCTTAGGAGAAATCAAACTGATGGTTTCATAAGAAGTTTCTACTTTGACTTTTGCTGATTTTTTTTTTTTTTTTTTGGTAGAGTTTCCCTCTGGGATGAGAAGACAAGTATTGCAAAGCCATAGAAAAAAGCTGGTGACACATCATCAATAAGAAATTAGTATATATTGTTACCTTCATGTTTTTGGGAGGGTAGTTTGTCAGTTAAATCAACACCAATAAATAAAACTCATTTCTAGCTTAGAAAATAATCAAAATAAAGTATTTTAATATCAAATAAAAATCACAAGTTTAAATTAATCTAACAGATGTGTTGGGTGACAGCTATACTGCATAAACAAAAATTTTAAAAAATCACCTAAATATAAAAATCATATAATACAAGATAAGGAAGCCATATCATAAACCCAGCTACAAAATTATCTTTGCCCCTTTGTTGTGAAACTGAAGATCAATCAGCTAGCCCTGTCACCAGACATTTGAAGAGCTCTTTTCTTCTCCAGCATGCCCCCAGTTCTGGCTTTGTTAGCTGTGTTAGGCAGGTTATAGCCAGGCACCTAAAGAAGAACCTTTTCCATCTATCTCCCAAGGCAGTACTGCCAGTGGCTACTCCCCTCGTTCACCTCTCCTGCTCGCACCCACTAACCCATTTACTCTTACTGACTAACTCCTTTGTGCTGTTTGCTTTCCTTTCTGGTAACCTGCAACCTCACCATGCTGCTTCACCTTCTCACCTGTAGCAAATTTGGTTTCACTTCAGATTATCTTCCCATTTGTTCATGCACCCCAGAAATCCAAGAGGCACAAATCCTCAGTTTTTCACCTTACTATTCCTATCTCCCTTTAAAATTGAAGTGTTACTGCACTGAAGTTTAGATTTCACAAACAAAATTCTCCGTTTTCTGGGTTTGTATCTTAAATATTGTCTTTTAATATTAAGAGATTTGTCACACTATTAAGGAACATGTTCGCTCTTTTTATAAGTTGCCTGGTAAACTATCAACACTGCTTGATTACAGGGACATATATTTCCTGTGACTAGAACCTGTTACAGTGATTGCTATTGAATATGTTCATACATACTCACAGTGGTAGCTCTTCTTAAAATCAATGTTAGGTCCCAAACATACAGTAGTACTACATGTCTTAATTAATTTTTTTTCTCAGAATTTTACAAAATTATCTCAGACTTCTGTTTCTTATAAGATGTTTTCTCATACAAACTACTATGTTTCTGTTTGCTTATTATAGTGTGTAGCTTGCTGAAACTTTTGACATTGATCCCATCTTCGAAGAGACTTCATTTTGCAAAGCATCATGGGACAAACATGCAGGTTCCATGACATGAATCGTACCCACTCTGAAATTTTCATCAATTCCAGGACAATTTTTACAGGATTTTAACCTAAAACGCTACAATAAGCATTTGTTTCTGATATTCTACTGTAGATGTAGTCTGCTGTCAAGAAGATTCAAAGTGGAAAATCCACTACATGTTCTTCATATTCTAAAGCACGTTTTGAATGATTCTACATTTAGGTCATAGAAGAGACATTAAAAATCCTGCTATTTTTATCATCCTTGTACATTGACTCAACTTTTAATGCTTGTTTAATGACAGAATTGTAATTGCAGCTGATATAAATCATCACAATTGCATAAATGATGGATGTGAGACTGTGTGCTTAACCACAAAGCATACGCTATCAGTATTGACCAATTCTCAAGTGGGATGTAGGGAATTATGATTGTGGTAATAGGGAGGAAGATCAATTATTTATTTTATGTTGGGGAGTTACAGGTCAGATGTGAAATAGACTCATTATTTTTCTCTTATTCCCAATGGCTCTCTCCAATAAGTGTCTATTGATCCATTCTCCCCAGAAGCAGTCTCTGCTAATGGATTAGGCATGTTTATGCTTGGAACTTAAACTTTCTTTTGTAAGTACTATATTTATTCATTTGCCCAGTACTCATCGTCCAAAAGTTGAGATTGGTGCAGCATAGTATAGTAACAGTAAAGACGTACAGTTTGAAACTTTTAATAGAATTGCTTGCTTTACATATTCAAATACACACTGAGTATTTGAATACAAACTTGCATTTGTATTCAAATACAAATACTGTCCTCAGTAGATAAAAGCAGAAAATAAAAATTATGAAAACAAAGTTGTAAAAAATGGGACCAGACAGCTGCTACTCAACTCCACAGAATTGTCACTCTGAGAATAGGAGGGTCTAGGTGGCTTTTGTTTTTGGGGTGTGTGTGTGTGTGTGTGTGTGTATTTTTAGCATCTCAAAAGGCTGTGTGATAAAAAATAGTAATAGAACAACAAAACCCCTAGGCTAAAACAAGAGTCTATAGACAATTAAAATGTGAGCCTTAAGCAATTAAAGTGGTTTTTACAAACAGAGGTGTTTCCAAACAGCACAAGGCATTCGAATTGAGTCTTACAAACTGAAGATTATTTAATTGACAATCTGTAAGTGGGATTCATTGTAAAATGTTCATGCTTGCTTACAAATCATTACACTGTATGCAAAAGAATAGTATTGCCAATTACCCAAGCCAGAGGATGCTGAAGAATTATGAATAATAATGATAGGCTTCCTGATCTGGGAGAAATTGCACTAATTTGTGACTGCATTCTAGCTAAAGTCAAGGTCTTTTGTGATTGGACACATACTATATTTGGCTTTATGTATGGAAACATAAGTGAAGACCACTATATAAAAAAAAGGTTTTTTTTAAGTTGGGCATTTATGTGAGGAAAAAATGTACTAATGTAGGAAAAAAATGAAAAATGATATTTCCTGCATGTGAATGTGATTTTCCTTGCAACAAATAGCATTTTTACACATCCCAGCCAATATCACTTCCCTTTAACTTATAAGAGAAACTATTTTATTCTTCTCCCCGCTGCTAGTTGAGAAGTCTGTGTAACAAAAATGCATTAAGGTAGGCAGGATCTGCCTAGACATCAATACACTGGAAAGGCTCCCAGCAGGCCACTTGTAGTGTCAATAAAGACTCATAATTACTTGGTGCTTGGTGCATTTTAGACTCGGCCCTTTGCTTGGCGGTGTTGTGGAGACAGACCGGGCTCTCAAAACTTTAGAGACTTAACTTCCTAAACCTCAGATAGAAACGGGCACGCATAAGCATTACATTAAACTTTGTCCTTTTACTTTTAGAGACCTCAGCAGCTAGGCAAAGGTTCACGAACTTCAAGTGATGTCGTTTAATGGAATACTACTGTTCCTTGAGCCACCCAGAATTTCTCCTCCTAAACTCAAGGACACCCAAGACCTGGTGGTGGGCCTTGTCATTTCCTGATGTGGAAAGTGCAAACTTAAACGGTAAGTGTGAGGACTACCAAAGGCAATGTTCAGTCTAAAGGAGCAGGAAGTCAGACTTCAGAGCCTCTGGGATCCTGCGGCCAAGGCACACAGAGGAAGGAGTCTGGCTTCCAGGCTCTGTCTCCTGCTGAGATGTTAGGTGTGATAAGCCTGAGCAGTCAGCTCTCTTGGATATGCCGGAAACTAGGAATGGAGAGGTGCTCAGCTAAAATACTCAGAAAGCGCGCCAGCTGCACAATACAATAGAAATAAGGAAAATGGTAGGCGGGAGGAGGGGTGAAAAATCAGAGCCCAATGCACTTCAGTTAGATTTTCAAGAGGAGCCTGCCTTTTCAGCTTTTTACCCTTCTTCCCTAGAACTGTGAATGTGTTTGTGGGTGTGCCGGAGGACGCTGTCTTTTCTCAGAATTCTGGTTCTCAGCAGTGAAGTTTAAATGGCATTGGAAATGCCTTCACTTCGTGAGGAGTTTCCAAATGACAACGCATGGGCCATGTAAGTATCCATAATGCTCGTAAGGACACCTCTGACTTCAGTTGCTTACCGCAAGCTTCAAGCTGGGATCCTCATTACCCATCCACTCTGCGGGCGAGATCAGCTCATTGGCTCCTATGAATAATCGTTTTTTCCAGACAGAGTTGTGCACTGAATAACGAACGTTCCCCTTCCACTTCCCTGTTGGATTTCACTGTGCCTCGGTCGGGTTTATTCGCTCGTGCGTTTATGTATGTTTAGCAAACACGCTTTGAATGATAGGCTGCTTTCTCGTGCCATCCCTAGCCTTTGCGTTCCTCTGGTGGGATAAGTATCTCCTATCTTTCTCAGATGAGATGCACTCTTTACATCAGTGTAGTCAGCTGGTGTCGAAGCTGCCGGATCTGGAGCTTTGACGTTTGGGCGTCCTAGGAGACGGTGTGATTCTGTATGTGTCTGTGGTTTGGGGGTATGTGCGCGAGAACGCGTCCGCGTGCGACTGTGAGCTTCCTCTCCTGGCGTAGTGCAGACCTAGCTCACGACGTTACTCTCCTAGCAGCCGCCAGTAACGCAAGGCAACAGCAGCCTCCGCCCCCTCAGCACCGTGATTGGCTGGCCTTGCTTATCATTTCCCTGCTACGGCGAGGAAAGGGCCAGTGACGCCCCCGAGCCCAGCTGCAGAAGCAACCGCCACCTCCAATGCACAAGGTGTCACATTTGAAAAAAAACCTGAGCCCCAGGGAGGCGGCGCAGAGCGACCCCGGCCAGGCTAGCTCAAACTGCGCGGCACGGCGCTGGGCAGCGCTGGAGAAGCGGGAGACCTCCACCGCTGAACATCCTAGCGACCTGATTCTGGGATCTCGGCTCCACGCTCCCTTCGCAATTTTCAGATTTCTCCCTCTTGATTATTTCTCCAAAACGGAGCCTTTATACCAGGAGAAGGTGCCTGAGCTGGGACAACCAGGACTTTCCAGGGCACCCAAGATGCGCTCCATTAGAAAACGGTGGACCATCTGCACTATAAGTCTACTCCTCATCTTTTATAAGACAAAAGAAATAGCCAGAACTGAGGAGCACCAAGAGACGCAACTCATTGGGTAAATGCATGTTCAAGGATATAACACCAGATCAAGCCTTAGTGAAGTGTGCTTTGAGTGACGTTTTGGGGTGCTGTGTGTGTTGGGCGTGCTTGTGCAGAGTGTCATGAATTAAATAACAAAGGCTCTTTGGAGGTGTGTGTGAGCATTTCCCGTGCTGGTTCAAGGATGAGTTTAACTTGTCCTGTGCAATGGTGGTGGTGGTGGTGGTGGTGGTGGTGGTGGTGGTGGTGGTGGTG